TGGCTTCATGGGGGGGGTAGGGGTGGAGGGAGGGGAGATCTGAGGATGTTGTGGCTGAAAAAAGTTGGATTGAACTTTGGCACTGTCAGTTACAATTCACAACATTTTACTGGTTACGACCATATCGTGATATCTTCCCAGAGTCTACTTGATTTTCAAGAGTAGTTAGTCATTCCATGCATTTGAAAACAGTCACAAATGCAGGCTCTTACGCTGCCACATGTTAGGAAGCAGCAAACTTCTCCAAACCGGGGCATCGCCAACCTATCGCGCCATCATTGTTTAAGTAGGTCATGACATTAGGCCATTTGAAGCTATTTTTAGCAAGCACAGTGGCTCGATGCAATAAACTGCGAGTTTCAGTTTTGGAAATGATGAGTTTCTCCATAAACTACATGTTTTAAATATTATCTATACCCTCTTTCTCAAGAGATTTATTTTTATTTTATTTGACATATTGCACAGGTTTGGCCGCATCCAAAGGTCTTGCGGATTTGGTTAAAACGCACGTACCATTTATCTCTATTATTGGCAATCATCATCTGACAAACACTTTCGGTTGTGAGTTCCAACGGTACAGAATAGTTCCTTTATCAATAAGATGAACTATGTATGCATGATCGAGGTAGTGCATTTCATTTCCTTCCGTCAAACTAATCATGTAAATTATTATTTCGCCTGTTTATCAGCAAACCGTACCTGAGCTTATTCCTAATGGCTATTTTCAGCCTTGCAATTAGTGGAGAGATCCGAATTGTGAAATTTTCAATTTCGACATTGTAGGCCTACTTAGTTTTGACTGTGGTTCATGGGCAGCTTCGAAGCCAGACTGAAATTTCTGCAGAGTTGCTGCAAATACTGGCAACGGCTAAAAGTCCTCAGAAGAGCGGTTGCAGGGCTCCGGTTGGCGCCTACACGTCGGTGGATCGCAATAAAGCTTACCGAGCGTACCAAATGTTGCTGAAGTGTAAATGAATACCTACAGTTTTTCGTTTTGTATAACCGGGACTTGTTTAGGCAGTAGAAACAGGCTCTCATTGGACATGATCAAATCGAGCAGCTTCGTCGTTTGCCTCGACAAAGCGACAGGCTACGCGACCAGCAGCGAACGAACCCCGTCTGCGACTACCTCAAGAAATCTGTCGTACATGATTTTAGGCGGTGGTTGTGATCGCTCCTCATGCAACCGGTGGTACGACAAAACGCTTCAGGTTTAGCTCAAACACACGGCACTTCGCATTTCCATAAATCGAACTATTTTTGCCTATTTAGTTCATTTTTACTCGTGATGGCTTGTGTGGTATCAATTATGAACATACTGTGGCTGAAGGAATACCGCTGATCCATTTGGCTGAGCACGTGATTCATTATATGTACGTGATTGACAGCTTGATTTATTGCCTTGCATAACACTAGAAAGTTTCGGCAATGGATATAGCTGGACTAGGCTTCGCCGGGAGTATAACGCCAAATATATTTATGTTGAGGATGCCGGACAAAGTGCATGTACAAAATATTGTTTCGAAATAGCTACTACTTGCTCAGTCGACTGTCTGAAAACCCAAGAAATGGTCAGGAATAACTTGTGGCGTGGAATGACTCTGTGACTCTGTTGCAGACTCGGATTTTCTTCGGCCGAAGCTCAAACTGGCACGGGATCAGAATGTTTGACAGACTCCTGACGCTGTCCCATCATCCGAATAGATATGCCGTCATCCAAACTGACTGACTTGCAATACCCCATTGCCAATGCTTTTAATGTCCATACGTTGATTTCGTGATCGGAAGATGATGATCCCGTCCAAGAACACTGATTGATGCGGATGTCAGATCTGCACAGCGTGCAGATTGTAATCCGTTGAGCTTTTCAAAAAACATGGCTTTGGGGAACTAGTTTCTTATGGAGTAATTTCTGGTGATGTATTCGTTAAGCACTGTTGACTTCATACCGCAGTAAGGTGGCCAATTCTAGTAAATGCGCATGAAACGGCATGGTCGTTTCACTCGCAAAACATATAACTGTCCTTGGGATATTCTTCCTTTTCCTTCTAAGAGACAGACGGACTTTCAGACGTTCCGAATACTCTTCGGTGTATAACCGTCAATTGCTTTATAGACACGGTTGTGTTTGTCTGCTAGCTGAGATGACCAGTCGGCCTTGAAATGCAGTTATTCTGCATCATGTTATTTCCTCGTTTTTGAATTTTTTTTTCTTCAGAATGTGACCATTATAACGTCGGCATCATTAGCCATTTCATGAGGAGCGTCATCTGTGACACCCTTCAAGGGGCTTACGCTGTAGCTCTGATCCACGTTGGTGTTATTAGAGAGAATTATCTTTTCCACAGCATGCAATATACGCTGTTATGCAGCAGACACTCGATCGATTCTTTACTGGATGAAATGCACATGACCGTAAATGACGTGGCAGAGATTGAAGTCCACATCTTCCAGCGAGTAATTTCACACTTTTCTTACGTCACACATGCGCTGATGAATCTGTTCTGTATTTTTTCCTTGCTTCAGTCACACAGTCAGCTTGTCCCTTCGGGTCGCGGAGACAGCGGTGCAAGAAATGTCTCCAGCGTTCTCAGTTCTGAGATAGCGTTTGAGCGTTGGCTGAAGAGAACCAGAGTCTGGTGCAATGACCGTCTAGACTCTTGCCTCAAATTGTCCTTGACAATCCTTTGGAACTTCGGCGGGTTGGTTGAAGAAGTAATAACTGTTTTACTTTCCTTTATGCAGGTTTCTGCAAAACTTTTTCAAAGCTGTCACTTCTCGACTTGGAGATAGAGTGGTTTTCTGGTATCTGAACTTTGTCGAACTGAAAGGTCCTTACTTAGACGATAAATTGCCAGTTTTCTTTCTTCAAGCAAGCAGATGAATTTTTTCTCGTTGGTGCTCCTGTTGTCCAGCACCTAACGGTTGCCGTTCAATTTGCCCAACAAGCTAAGACAATTTTTTGGCAGTCCATCTTGAGAACCTCCTAAAGGTTCTTCTCGTATTCCTCCCTTTCAAACTCAATTCTCAATTTCAAATCCAAAAATAAAATGACAATTAAGCAAAACTGATAACGTCCCGTAGAAGAGTCGAGAAGCTTCGCCCTCATTTTGACTGACTGTTGCACGATTGATTCTTTTATTGATAAGATAATTGCCGTGTGCTTGTTTAACGAACCACTGAAAGGCTGAATCGATTTCACTTTTTGCAGAAAGTCTCCAGTTGAAAAATTTTATTTTATATAAGATATATTTGAATCGATTGATGCATGTTTATCTCAATCATGGTCGATTCATCAGAAAATTCATTACGAATAGTTGATGAAATTAAGTTAAATGTTTGCCACAATTACATATAGACGTTCACATAGACTCTTAAATTTTCTATGCCGATTTATATTTATTGACGGTTATCGGCAACCTTGGCAAAAGTACTAATTGCGCAAAGATTTACCGATACATTATCACGGCACTGGCTATGAAAGCATCGAGTGCATTAAAAGCACGAATGGTGAACGTCTCTATTTCCTTTTTGATTGGTAGTCAATACAGAACGTTTCAGCGTAAATTAAATTATTATTAAAACTCTTGATCAGACGGATCATTTATGCAATCTGCCTGATGGAATGCATGAAGCAGTGCATCCTCAAATTCTGTTTTCACCTTTGCCTCAGACAGAGGCTGTTTGCAAAACAGAATAATGCGTCTGTTTCTAGCAGTCAGTTAAGATATTTGCTTGGAGGTCAAATGAATGTTGCGGAATGCTGCTTTGCTCAGTTTTGAATCCCTTAAACTTTCCAACAATATACATTTAGTAGAGAGTTTGTGAAACGTAAATTGAGAAGTCGATCAAATGTATATAAATCAAATTTATGTTCCTTACTGTGCAATGCTTCTCCTGTTGAAGTCGAGTCTGGCAGTAGTGCAGGAGCTAGCTCCAATAGGTTGAGATGGTAGTTCCGCCAGGATCCAAAGATACTTTTCCGTAACAAACTTCAGAGTGCTCCACTTCTCCCACTCTGTTGGGCTGGATAAGGTTGCGGAGACGTTGGCACTCTGAATGGACTGTCAAACAACTACTCCCCTAAAATATGCTAAGAGGATAGAAGGCAGAAAAAGGGTCGACTCGTGCTCATGGCGCGTCTACAATGACGTCACGTTGGTGGAACGGTGGCAAAGAGCTCGGCTTCGAACTCCGCATTTGCCGCTTCCAGTGTGCAGAAGGGACGATCTGTATTAATCGCAAATTTCATTAAGCAACAAATTAACCTCATGTTGCATCGACGAAAACATCCGATAAATTGGTACCACGTCATTAACTTACGAACAGAAGGGAAGCATGTTTTGGCATGGCCATACGAGAATGTGAGAGTGACGCTCATGTTGACTGATTCGAGCGATTTGCATTACTACCATTCGCCTGAACCCCTCTCATTGCTGACTATCAAGTGTAATCAGGATCAGGCATCACATGGATTGTCCGGATTGGCCGGTATTCGGTGACTAACTGCGCCAGTCACAACATCGTGTTGTCATAACTCACGTAGCTGCTAGATCCGCTAGCAAGGCAGACAGTGGCCTGAGGAATTTCGTTCAGACAGGTCCCTAATTCCGTCCAAATGGAATTTGGCACCCGTCTGTGCGATATCAGAGCGGAAGAGCAGGTACAACTCCAAAAAGAATCGAGCGAAGGATGAACGGATGCAGGCAGCTACTTTCATGGTATTTGATTATTGTTTGCTGATTTAATTGTGGGACATTTGAAGTGGTTTAGCCCTGTGTGAAAAAATAAACTGACGAATGCGAAATGTTTAGAGAAAAGTACAAGCCTGTAGCTGGCAAGCAGCCTCCAGCTGTCACCTCTCCACAATTTCTCGAATGGTTAATAAATCCTGAGTTGCAGCATCTGTTGGAGGAATGCTGTAAGGATATTGATAAGTGAGATTTACTGTGATTATAAACATAAAGAATCAATGGATCAGCTATTACCTTCCAGACTGGCAAATTCACTAGATGTCGAGGTGCTATGTTTCCGGAAGTACGGCAAGAATTTCATTAAGCAGATGTGTATCAGCCCAGATGCCTTCGTGCAATTGGCTCTACAACTGACTTACTACAGGTAGTCGTTGGAAGATAAGACTACAGCTTACTAAATCTTATTCATAGATGCTATGGGCGACTGACATCGACTTACGAAAGTGGAACGCTGCGACGGTTCATCAAGGGGAGAGTGGAAAACATTCGAGCAGCCACCCCAGAGGCTTTCGAATGGGTGAAAGTCATGGACAGTAAGGATGTGTCGCAGGTTGCTACGAATGCGGCTAGATGTGTTAAAACGTTGCAACAAATATTTACATAGGACGTGAAGCATAAAGCTTTCAAAAACGCCGTTAAGAAACAGACAAGCGTAATGGAAGAGGTAGGAGCTGTGACATGCAATTTAATAATAAGATATTCGTGAAATTTCTAGGCAACCAGCGGTTATGGCATCGACAACTACCTCGTGGCTCTACGAGAACTCGCGTCACGGAACCTCATTGAACAGCCAAAGATCTTCACCGACAAAAACTTTGACAAATCTTTCCGGTTCCCGCTATCAACAAGTCAGGTATCGTTCCTGTGCGCTTCGACATGACTTCGAAAAACTTCTGGTTCAGGTTAATACGTCGATTGCCAGCGTGGTAGTTGGTTACGGGCCGGTCGTTGACGATGGCTACGGATGCGGTTACCGAATGCAGCCTGAAGAAATCTTTTTCGTTATATCAAGCAGCAGGAACTGCCAGTTAACTAGTTCCTTAACATTCCAGAAAACGTTGGAAAAAACCCTGCTGGACTTGAGAAACTTCACCAGAGATATGCAATGAATGTGATCCGTTGTCAGGCAAAGTTTAAAAAGCCGTTGCTTTCATCACTTAGCCATCACTTCTAATTTAGCATAACTTATTATAGGCACCTCATACCTCTGTCACCTGTTCAGACTGTATCTGTACTGTTTGCAATTACTGACATGAGTTGTTTTGTTCGCTAGAAATAGATCGATTTCCAAGAATTGCTGTGTCGATCAATTGTGATTAGATTCATAGAAATGGTTTCGTTCCAAATCATTGTAAATTAACAACAACAGGCAGGTGTGAGTTTCCGCTTAAATCTACCGGTGATGAATAAACATAAAAATGAGTGTTGCATTTCATTAGAGTTATTGCCTTATTTTTTCGTCACCATTCTTCGTCGTCGCCGTACAATACTGCAGACAGCATAAGATTTTAATACCCACTCATCTCAACATTTCGAAATATTGATATCAGAAGATATTTACAATGTGGAAAAAGAAAAAATTTGTCATCGAAAACGGATATTCGCTTAATTTCTGTCGCGTGCGACGTGGTATCTGCAGATCTGTTTGTATGTAGCCTTTAACGTAAGCAGAGAATAAGCTGATGAAGCCTGGTTGCCTGTCAGCAGATGGTTAAACCGTGTGAATCAATCAATTAATCTACAACGGCACAGATGTTACGAAAAAGATAACTTTGCAAAAGAGCACAGAATTTGGGCACGGTCTTAGAAACTGACCTACAATTGATACGTAGCACAGCTAGCAAGTGAACTTCATAGTAGGAGAAGACAAAGGCAGAATTACATCCAAATCTGTCAACTTTAATCACACTATATATCAACAAATAGTTGATTGTATTTATACCTGAAAATCACTCCGCAGTAAGCAACGACATTACTGTCACGCGGCACTTTATATTGCATAATACCCGCTGAGGACAGTTCCAGCTCGATTCGAAATATTGAGATATTATTTAAAAAAATTTAAATGCGAAATATACCTTTGCTAATTTTGGCGATGAATTATTAGCACGGAATTTTCTATCCCAGTTATGACAGAAAGTTGACCTCTAAAAACACCTGATGCTAAACGGCTC